CATCCAAATCATGCAAACCACTTTAGATTAGTGGCTCTTTTCATCAGAAAACAAGATTGCACTTCATTAGTGGCAAATAAGAAATTTTTGAACCCGATGTCATGCATAGATTATCAAAAATTTACATGTTAGATGAAATGCCTGCCTATCGTGAAATTTATCGTGGTCCTATGTTCAGGCGAGAAGTATGCGTTGTCGAGTGTCATTTTGGTTGGTAGATGAAAAATTATTTGTCGTAGTTTTGTGATCAGAGATTTTGATTTGGTGTAAGAGAAAAACGGATTTATAGCGAATTCTTTTGTCGAGAAAACATATTTGATATGGCTGCTTCAAAATTATTAGTTCAATGCGGAGCCATCACATTTCTAGGAACGCGTACACAGCAGGGGATTTAAATGCGATCATTTTGTGAGCTAAGCATTTCGAGGGAGTGGTTTTTTTGAGTTATTGTTGTTGTTGTTTTGTGAACGGGCTAGCGAGCGAGCCAGGGAAATCACCAGGGAAATTGGCGGTTAGTAGTAGGCATTTTCCAATTGAAGGCAACTGGTGACACAACGATGGCGAGTCGTTGTTTTCGGTTGGCAATGTCCGCAGACGCGAATCACGCCGAAAGTGTCTGCAATCTGGCCGTTCTGCAGATGCGAGACGGCAAACTTGAACAGAGTCGAGCGTTGTTTCTGTCGGCAATTCAAAAAGGACCACATCTTTTCGAACCACACTTCAATCTAGCACTACTCACCTATCAGGTTATAATCTAGTCAATTATTTTAACTGAAAAATGCGCAACTGAATGTCTGATGGCTAGCAAGCACATATGTCGAAGAATTTTTCCGTTGAATTAATGACAGCAGCGATATCATTGATTGATGCTGGATTAAGTGCTGAGATCAACGGGAACTGACTGAGATCAACAGACCTTGATCAAATGTGAAATTTGTGAGTAGCGTTTTTGATTGAATTGCTTTGAACTGCCTAGATTTCGAGTATTTGGAGATGCTGATAATGATGTTTTCAGTTGGGTCAATTCAACGAGAGCCGTTCACTGGTAATGAAAGCACTCGAGATTTTTCCGGATCACATCTACTCGAAAACACTTCTTGGACACATCGAGCAGTTGTACACTATACTTTAGTGTTACCATTTGGAAGTACTCTAAACAAACACGATTGTTTCAATAGCGCACTGCTTAAAGTCACAGAAAAAGAAGTCACGAGCTGTTCTTGTTGGTCACGAGTTTCTCTACATTCATTTTCGAACATTAAGAGTGCTTCGTCGAATTGCTCCAGCGTTTGACAATGTCATTCAAACTGTATCGTATGATGGATGATGGCTCTATAATGCGATAAGTAAACGATGTCAAAACAAATGCTTAATCGAACGCACTTTTACATATGACTGACTTCTCAACGGTATTCACCACTGAATTGATTAGCAACGAAAAATATCATATAGTTTTCGTTGATAGAATATGCTGAGATAACACTTCAGTCATGACACATTCAGCTGAGAGTATCAACGATGGAACTGCTCCATTCAATCGCATGTAAAAATCAATCGAGAACAGCGTACAGTGTTGTCAAAAATGCAAATATTTTTCGCCATAAGTATTTCAAGGAATGCCAAGCAGATAGAGCACACAGCTAATCAAGTTCGCCGTCAAAATTTCGAATAAAGCTTGTGCTTGGTCATACTATGGCTGACTATTTCTAGAAAGTTTTATGATCACACTTTATTCCGCGACTTTATTCCAATGAATTTCTCGCGCTCGTTGTACCACAAATTAAGATTATCGAGCGAAGGGGATGGATCATTGCTTAGATCAAAACTGAATTCAAACTGATTGTGAGTCGTCAGCAGTTCAAGACTGTGCACTAAAAATTCTGTTCAATAAAATATTCACCATGATTTCATCATGAAAGAAACACGAAACGCATTGTGACCGTTTCATTTTGGTAATTATTTGCATGCGCTTCAAAGAACAATTCAGAAACTGATATGAGAAACAAATTCATAGAATTGGTATTGTCTCAACCATTGTGTACTGAACTGAAGTATTGGTGCATCTCGTTCGCTCGTTTCTGTGAATGCCTCTATCGTTTCTCGGCGATCTAATGTGTTATTTGCCTATTCTGCGATAATATTTGACAAAAATGTCGATCGATGGCTGTTCATCACATGGAATTCATCACTCAACAATCACGCCATTAAGCGCAACTACTTACATCCCTCACCAAGGAGTCCCCACTAGCGTTTCGATACTATCATAAGACGACGATTAAACAGCAGATTAGGAATTGTGGCGCCACGATATTAGTTACTGTCGCTGATAGGAATTGCATCAGTTGCTTGCACTTGAACACAGTAATAATTACTTTATTCAACGTATGATATGACAAATAAATGTGTGTGTGT